AATGGCGTATAGGTAGAAGCATTTGTTGCTTATTGTGGGACTTTTAGGTTGCATATTGTAGATAGACTATAAGTAAAAGCAGTCGTTTGTCTATAACTATTGAAATGAACTCATATGTATATAAAATATTATGTAAATTAAAAGTCTAAATTCATAATTTTTTAAAAATTAAATTCGTTAACAATTTATTTTTATTTTTATAGATTTTATATTTCGTTCATTTTTTATATTTGCAACACTGAAATTTGTTTATTTTTTTCCAGTTATTAAATATAATAAATATATACCCAGTAGAAATATTAACCTAATATTTATACACACATTTATTTAAAAAATTCTAATTGCATAAAAAAAATACAAATAAATATATATTAATAAAATAAAATATAATATTTTATTTATTTTTTTTTTATTTTTTATAATTGTTGCATTGAAATTAGTCTATTTATTATAATAAATATATAGCCTGTAATTAAAATGTATTTATTAAATAAACGTACACCTGCACTCACCTGCACACATACCTGCACACCCGTAAAGCAAGCAGAAAAGTTCTCGCGGAATTGGCCAACGACTTCAATCAATAATTAATGCGGCTTACAGCCGTCGACCGTCTGATCCTTTGAGTTGCAAAGCGAAGCATGCCTGTCTCTCCTGTGTGCGTGTGTGTGTGTGTGTGGGTGTTTGTGCATGTTGTTCTTTTCCTTTGTTTTTGATTTCTGTTGCCTGTTTCAACGCCCTCGCTCGGCCAGCTCTGCCAGCTCGGCGAGTGAAGTGGGTGAGTGGGAGTGAACCTTAAGTTCCTGCCTCTGTCTGTATTTGGCCTGTTTCATGGTCATAATGTGTATGCACATGGATATCGAGGCATATCTACGACTGTTTGTATCTGTATCGCAATAGCCGGGCGATATCCGCATATCCTACTGCAACAGGCTCAACTGGACATGTGCGCCAGCCCCTGGCTCCGTAGCCTTTAACGTTTCTCCCAACAGATGAATGTCTGTTAAATATTTATGAGCATCGAAATGTTGCCTCAATGCATATTATAACAAATGAAACGTCAATTTCATGCGAAAAATGCAAACAGCATCGAGCCAGGGAGTGCACGGACAACGGACAACAGACGCCGGACGATGGACCAGGGACCACAGACCAAAACCGGAGCTCGATGAAGCTTGTGGAAGAGGTGCTTCGATGCCACCATTGCGGCCATCATTGAATGCGCTCTGTGACTGTTTACCCTCTCCCTCTCACACTCTCTCCCTATCACACACTCTCTCTCTCTCTCTTTTTCTCTGTGTGTGCGTGACATGTTTCCTTGCTCACAGCCTATGGCCATTTGGCTCTACTCCTAGGTGTGGGCTGTTTTTGGTGGGCGTGGCTCTAGGCAGCACGCTCGTTTCGTTTCTGCACAATTTCATTATGGATTTTTATGCATGTCCCCTGAGCGATATACATATGTGCCTACCTATATATATATATATATATATTCATTTTCGCTATGATTGTGGCCCTGTTTTTCATGGCAAGTTGAGTAAAAATATTCAATAAACGAGAAAATTGCAAGGCGAAGCTAAAGGTAATGAGAGGTGCAAGAAAGTTAAGCACTGAGTTGTGAAATTAAACTGCACTGAAGATTTATGGGGTGTATAAATATATACTTTATATTGGATGTATACCATATGTTGAGCTATCGAGATTTTTCGAATAGCTTTAAATTATTAAACGATTGAATTTACTTAGTGATTAGTTTATTAGCGATTATTAGAGTTTACAGAGTTTATGTGATAGACGCGAGCAAGCGACTAGTCTGTCGTGCTGTCCGCTACTATGTTTGTAATAGTCAATCTAACACTGCATCTGCTCTAAACAAGAGTTAATTGCATACTAACTACAATGTACGCGAGCCGGCGGATTAAGCTGAACCGGTGCGTGGGTGAAAGAGACAACGCAAAAGGGAGAGCGTGATCTCCGTTACAAATTCTCTTACATGATAACATATTCTATGAACTGCCGCTCTTAATTACAATGAAGCGATGATTGCTGAGCCCAACATCCTCCCCCCGTTGAAGACTTAGTCTTCAACAGAATCCTTAAGGGGCAGCAAGCACAGCTTATTTGTAGCTCTTCTTATCTCGCCAACTTCAGTTTTTAGTAGGGCTACCCGTGCAACGCCATCACTTCCAGGGATAAGTTCGATTATTCTGGCTAGTGGCCACTTAAGTGAAGGTAGATTCTCATCCTTCACAAGAACTATGTTGCCAACAGCCAAGCCAGGTTTAGAGGTTCTCCATTTCGCTCGCTGTTGTAACAAGTTGAGATATTCGTCCCGCCAACGAGTCCAGAACACCTGCTGGAGATAGCTTACGCGCTGCCAAGCATCCAAACGATTAAAATTGAGCCCGGTTAGGTTTGGCTCACTGAAAGACGAAGGAGGGCCACCGTTGAGGAAATGCGCAGGAGTCAACACGTCTATGTCTGATGGGTGCTCTGAAATCGAAACTAAAGGGCGTGAATTAACGACAGCAGCGATGTTGCAAACCAGTGTGCGAAGCTCATCGTAAGTTAGGACGGAGGACCCAACACATCGGTAAAAATGATGCTTCGCTGTCTTCACTGCAGCCTCCCACAAGCCACCAAAGTGAGGTGATCGTGGAGGGATGAAATGCCATTCGATTGAGTCTGCCAAACAGAAATCCTTCACAGCCTTCTGGTGGGTGTCTGACAGAAATAGACGCTTCAACTCCTGAAGCTGATTGCGGGCACCAAGAAAGTTTGTGGCGTTATCCGACCAGATTTGACTTGGCTTTCCTCTGGTGCATATGAAACGTTGAAGTGCATGCAAAAATGCCGCGGTAGTTAAATCCTTGACTAACTCCAACCAAATAGCCTTCGTAGCAAAACAAATAAACACACAAACGTAGCATTTCACAGGCGCCTTGTTTCGTGACTCAGGCTTGTAAAAGAAGGGTCCGCAAAAGTCGACTCCAGTCACTCAAAGACCCGATAGCCGTCGACTCGATCCTTGGGTAGATCTGCCATTATGTGTTCAACGAGTCGGGGCCTTGCACGAAAGCAAATTACGCATCTCTGAATTACACTGGCTACAGTTTTTCTACCTCCAATTGGCCAATATTGGGAACGAACCAACGCTAGCACTGCTCGGGGACCAGCGTGCAAGTTTCGCTGATGGAAATGCATTATGATGGCTCTAGTTACTGGATGAACTTTGGGCAAAATAATTGGATGGCGACTATCGAAATTTAAAGTTGAGTTTTTGAGACGACCATCGACACGTAGCAGCCCAATCTCATCAAGGAACGGTGACAGCGAGGCTAGACTGCTGGATGACGGAACCATTCCTTTATTTCGAAGAGCATTTATGTCGTCTGAGAGATGTGTTCGTTGAATCATTCTTAACAGTATATGAGTGCCGTTCCGGATGTCTGCTAGGGTTATTCCTGGACCATGACTTTTTTAATAAACTTTGATACGTATGCAAACGTACGCTGCAAGCGGCCGAAAGAATTCACAAACTTGCAGTCCATAGAGACATCATGGACTGCGTCCTTCTACAAGAAGCACAGTTCTTCGACGCTCAATTGAAGTTCTTTCTGGAAGTGCTGAGACTGGCCACTGAGATCTGGGCTTACAGAGGAAACCTGGACCGTTGAACCAATGTAATGATGCATTTAAATCCGAGGGCAATGCACCCCGAGATAATATATCCGCGGGATTCAGTGTTGTAGGTATATAGTGCCATTCCATTGCTGATGTGAGATCTTGTATCGTGGCGATGCGATTTGAAACAAAAACGTTAAATCGTCCGGGCTCGTCATTGATCCAAGAAAGCGCAACAGTAGAGTCAGACCAACAATGAAACTCGCCTGCGAAAATGCCTAAGCGAGCCACTTCATTCATTAGACGCGCAAGCAACTCTGCCCCGCATAGTTCCAGCTTGGGAACCGTGAGCGTTTTTAGAGGCGCAACTCGAGACTTAGAGCAAAGCAACCTGCTGATGGTATGCTGACCTCTGGATACAATATAAATGCAAGCTCCGTATGCCTCGATGCTGGCATCGCAGAATCCATGGACCTCAACCTTCGATCCTGGTATTAATGATAGCCTGGGAAATGCACTACTAAGACCATTGCCAAAGTTGCTGCAAATGTCTAGCCATGCAGTGTGACATGCAGACGGGAGACTCTCATCCCAATCAAGTTTATGCCTCCAGAGTTGTTGCAAGAAGATTTTAGCTTTCGTTATTACTGGGCCGACCAGGCCGAGGGGATCATAAAACCTAGCAATAGACGAGAGAACAGAGCGCCTGGAGGGCTTAGAGGCTGAATTCAGAGCTAGATATGAGAAAAGAAGTTGATCAGATGCCGGATCCCATGCAAGGCCAAGTGTCTTTGTAATGTCGCTGCCATCGTTGAACCTAATGAGCGATTCCTTGTCGCAGTCTGTTACGCCGTCCAGTACCATGGGATGGCTTGAACACCACTTCCTCAATTTAAACTTCCCACATGCCAAGATTCCAGCTGTCTCTTGCATAACAAGTCTTGCTTCTTCGACTGAATTTCCTCCACTAATCAAATCATCAACATAGAAATCGCGAAGCAGTACGTCGGACCCGACTGGGAATGCGTTCCTTTCATCTACGGCAAGCTGATGCATGGCGCGCACAGACAAAAATGACGCTGGTTTTGTTCCATATGTTACCGTATCAAGCCTGAAAACTTCCAACTCATCATCTGGTGAATTCCTCCATAAAATGCATTGTAGATAGCTGTCCGGCTCAGGTACTTTCACGCAACGATACATTTTGCAAATATCGCCGGTGAGTGCAACTGGATAAGATCGGAAGCGCAATAATATGTCGACTAATTTTGGCTGAATGACGGGACCTGACATTAGAATGTCATTCAACGAATGCCCAGTTGTTGTAGATGCAGATCCATCAAAGACGACGCGAAGCTTGGTAGTTGTGCTATCATCCTTCAGAACGCAGTGATGAGGAAGAAAATATCTGCATAGATGGAATGAATTTAGAGGAACGCGTGACATGTGACCAAGTTCAAGATACTCTTTCAGAAATGCTGAGTATTGAGACTTTATATGCGGCAAACGACTCAATTTCTTCTCCAAATTGAGAAACCGATGTCGCGCTTGCTCATAAGAATCTCCAAGAAGCTCACAACTAAGCTTAACAGGCAGGCGTACTGTATATTGGCCACTAGCCAATCGATTGTAATGCCTCGCAAAATGCGCTTCGCAGTCTGAGTCTTCCTTGCTGAACTTTACAATGGAATCGCTGCAGCGCTCAACTTCCCAAAAGCGACGAACGAGACTGTCCAACTTGATATCAGCACAGGAGTCTGTAATCGGATCCAAAGGCGTCTTTGAAGCTATTAGCACGGAGTTGTGGTTGCGAGCCTCGCCACCTGATACAACCCAACCAAGACGAGTCTTCTGTAACAATGGAAGTCCAGGCATCAACTTGATTTGTCCCACACAGAGCAAATCATAAAACAGGCTAGCTCCGATAAGCAGATCTACTCGTTGCGGCCTATGGAAAGCTGGATCTGCCAGCACTATATTTTGCGGTATGCTCCAATTGCTCGTATTCACATTAGAACTGGGCTGCCTGCCAGTTATATTTGTAGCTACCATAGCCGTTATGCTAGTTGTATATTCAGATGCATGAGCTTGAAGAGTGAGGCAAATGCTGCTGCCATCCATGGCAACATTGGAGTCGCCTACGCCGCATACAGATGCCACCGATTTTGTTCTCTTAAGTTGCAGGAGATTCGCAAATCTGGCTGTAATGAGATGTAGTTGAGAGCCTGAATCTAAAAGTGCACGACAAGGAACAAGCTCGCCAAACCGATTCCTTGCCAGAACCACTGCGGTAGCCAGGAGCACAACATCGCTGTGCCGATCCTTGGATAAGAGAGTAGTGGCTGGTGCTGAGGGCTGAGGGATGGTCTGTACTCTTGATGTTGAAGATTGTTGATGGGGCGGAATTGCTGCCTGCGATGTGCTGGAGTGGCCGAGATGAAGAAGCTTGACTGATGCTTGACTCCACAGACCCGACAACTGCGCGAGCCACATTGTCGCGACTGATGACCTCCCTTGAGACAATTCAAACATAAGCCAGCCTTTCGGACCTCATTCAGGTGAAGACTAGGAGACAAGTTTGCGAATCTTGGGCATTTGTAGATTGTGTGCTCAAGATCATTACAAAAATTGCAACTGTGAGTACTGTGGCCGGTTACGAGAAATGCTGATCTACTGGTAGCAACCTTACTGCAAGAATTCATCGGCTTACTTGACGAATAGTTTGTAAGAGCAAATTTCATCGATTCCAAAGTACGGCAACGAAGCTCAAGAAATGAGGAGACTTCTTCATATCTGGGTATCTGAAGAGCCGTCTCTGAGTTGTCCAATTTCTCTTCCCATTTAGCTTGTGAGGCCTCATCAAGCTTCTGTAGCAGTATCTGAGCAATCATGGCACTGGCTATCTGCTCTGTTGTGCCCAGACTACTGAGCGCACGCATATGGACATTGAAGCTGTCAGATAGCTCACGCAGCTTGATTATGGATCCGTTTTCTACTCTTTTGAGACCTAAGATCTTTACGATGTGGGCCTGGAAGATTAAACGTCGGTTATCATATCTCTGCTTTAATAAATTTACGGCAATTGTATAATTATCATTAGAAATTTCCAAAGAGCGAACCGTATCCAACGCTGCGCCATCGAGGCAGGACCGGAGGTGCTGAAGTCTTTCCATATTGCTGATTTCTGGCCGACTTTCAATGATTGTAGAAAACATTGAGTAGAAATCAGCCCAATTAGCATATCCACCGCTGAACGTAGGTAACTTTAATGGCGGCAACGCAGGTGCAGCCTGCAATCTGGGAGCGGATGCGCGAGGAGGGTCACTTGGACGACTAAACGTGGAACTATGATGCACTTGAGCAGTACGACTTTGCACTTCGGACATTATTGTTGACTGCATGACCATTATTAAATCATCAAAGTCAGTGCGCAAATTGCTGGACATCTCAGTAAAGTCGAGCTCCTCTAGACTTTCATGGGCCTTGCTAAAGGAGTGACTTAGCTTGTCGATATGCTCCAGTAGAACATTTAGAGTGCTGTCACTGTGATCGGCAAGAGCATCTGAATCGACCTTGGATTGTAGCTTTTTTACGCGTTCAAACACCGACTGTACCTTGAGCTTATAAAACCGCACGCGATCTTCGGGAGCAACTGCACTAGCATCTAAATTCGCCATGACGAGTACAGCAAGAGCAACACGATAGAGTTCAAAGTCGTTGGTGCGAGCGCGATTGCAAGAGTAAGTAAATGTATATATGCTATAGCGCAGACTTGGAATAAGTCGTATTTGTCGAGCAGAGTACTTGCAACTTTAATAAACTGGCAAAGAATTATATTATGGTACTCAAATAATATACACGTATGAATTGTTGCACACCGGTACGATTATTATGGACGCGCTCGTATCGCAGCCGTGGCGAAAAAGTGCAATGTCAACGAAGAATAACGGCAAGCATGTAATTACACTGTGCTTATGTAAACTTAATCACTTATAGATTGAAGCTATAGAACACGCAGTCACTAACCATAGACATAGTTCAGAAATTAGTTGATTCTTTATTAGATTGTCAATTGCAGAAGTTTTCGCATGTGTACTACTTTTACGGGCGCCAGTGTATTGCAGACCGAACGAAAGAGTGTCTGGCGAATTGGCAAAGTAACGGCACGCAACTAATCGCTATATACAATGCTTATGTTCACGGGTGTATGTATGTATGTGATGCTGTCAATATATATATGCAAATATGTAAAGAAACGAAAAGAGATCACGTCGGGGTCACCAAATGTTGAGCTATCGAGATTTTTCGAATAGCTTTAAATTATTAAACGATTGAATTTACTTAGTGATTAGTTTATTAGCGATTATTAGAGTTTACAGAGTTTATGTGATAGACGCGAGCAAGCGACTAGTCTGTCGTGCTGTCCGCTACTATGTTTGTAATAGTCAATCTAACACTGCATCTGCTCTAAACAAGAGTTAATTGCATACTAACTACAATGTACGCGAGCCGGCGGATTAAGCTGAGCCGGTGCGTGGGTGAAAGAGACAACGCAAAAGGGAGAGCGTGATCTCCGTTACAAATTCTCTTACATGATAACATATTCTATGAACTGCCGCTCTTAATTACAATGAAGCGATGATTGCTGAGCCCAACACCATATTTATATTATATATAAAAATATACCTAAAATCTGCAGTTAATTTGGTTGCCCTCTGCAAGTCGTTGCAGTCCACATTCCATACGTTCCAACATTTCATTTCCATTTTACTTTGCTGACTGCATTGAACCCTTTCCAGAGATTCAATAATGTGCTTAGGGCCTCTCGCTCTCTCTATCTCTCTCTTCTACTATCACAGCCACAGCTGCTTCAGACTTCGTATTATGCCGAAGATCATCTTAGGGCTGCTGCTTGTTGGACCGTTGGCATTGGGCTTTATACAATATTACTTCTGCTCTTAACGTGAGTGTCTATGGTATGCCTTCATTAGGGTGTTCCATTTTCTCCTGTATTCTATCTCTTTTTATTAACCATCGCTCCGTCAACTTTCGCATTAAGTCTGCTCAGAGATCTATTTGCTACTTGCTGCTCTCTGCATTACATGTTGAAGTGCTGATGATGATGATTATAATTATTAATGAAGAAAGTGGTGATAATCATAATTATAGTCTCTGTAATGATGATAACGATGTTAATGAAAAAATTGCTACTGATAATCTGCACTGATCTTCAGCTCTTGAAAATATTAATAAATAATCATATTGATATATATCGTATCGTATATTAAAAATATTAGAAAATTATTATATTAATTTTATATAAAATAAATAACATATGCTAACGATATTAAAGACCTTAATACAGTCTATGCTGCTGCTCCCTTCGTCTAAGTGCTTAGGGTATCAATTGCATCGACATCTGTGATACTTTTAAGTAATTACTCGTTAAATGAATAATCTATGATAATATTATCGTTCTCAGTCAACTGTCTATTGGCAGCAGTGAAATGTTATCGGTTTTAATCCTTTTGACTCGCAACTCGCATTAAGTCGACTCGCTGGCAGTTGGCGTTGTTTGAGCTCTCCCCCTCCCCCTCTCCTCCCCCTCTCTCACACGCTGCTGGCCCCAAGAAGCCAAACTCTTTTTAATAGCTGCGTCAAAAGTTGTGCAACGGCCGGGCCGCAAAACGTTTTAACTTTATGCTAATTAACTAAACGCCACGCTCGCCGCTGCTGAACTGAGAAAATCCCTAACTAAAAACGATTAAACGTCATTAGCATTATAATAGCATCGCGACTTTGACTTTGAACGTGAACGTGGACGTGTAGCCCCAGCTGGCATTCCACCTTTGCCCGCCCGGCTGACCCCTCCGCTGGCCCCCAGCTAATGAATGGCCACTCATTCATCTTCGCAGCATCAGCAGCGCCAGGAGAGCAGCAGCAGCAGTCGCAGCAGACGTCGCAGCAGCAGCAGCAACAACAACAACAAAAGCAAAGTCATTTAGGGTTTCATTTTAATTGTAATTAAAGCGATTATTAAGGCGCAAGTGCTCAGGAATTTTTTATTCCTGCTGCACGCTGTAAGCAAGTAAAAGAAGTGTTAAATGGGGTATTTTATTAATCTATTAATTAACTGTAATTTTAAACCTAATTAACAGTAGCTCAGCTTACATTTTATACGAATTTTCTTTATATAAAAATTACTTTTTTATATGCAACTCTATATTTTCCTTACAGGGTATTTCATAGTCCCTGCCATCAAACTGCTCTTTTCCATTTTAATGCTCTTAAATTCCCTGCTTAATCTTTGCTACCTGCAACTACCTGGCAGCTAGCTCATTTTCAATTTAAAAAAGTCTCAGCAACTTTTTCTATTTGCTCCACTCGACTTTTGCCAGAGAGCAAAGGCCTAAAGGCTTTTCAGTTTTCCGTTTTTCGTTTTCAGCTTTCAGGTTGGCACAAAACGCTTTCTTCTTGCTGGGTTTCCAGTTACCAAAAAGCACACTAAAAAAGTAAAATGTGACATTTTGTTGTTATTTGTTTGCTGGCGACAAAACTTGTAGCTGCTGCTCGAGTGGGTGCCCGGGCATGGAACTACGTTAACTTTCGTAGTTTACTTCCATTCAATATAAATTGATTTGCTTTCTAGGCAACAAATTGCAGCTCAGCATTATGTAGCATATAAAATGTGCATGGCCACATACATATATGTAATACAATACTTACATGTATGTAATATAATAAGGGCAGACTAAATTTGGGATATCTAGAGAGGATGTGTGAGCGATATGTACTATAGAGTGACATATAATAAAGATGAGATATGTTTACATTTTACACAATGCAGTTACATGTATTACATTTTTATCATCCTGATCTTTCATTATTCTCAATTGTTACTAAAATGCATAAATATAGTCTATGCTATATATATTCATTAACCTTCCAGATAGATAAGAAAAAATTCAAAATTATAATTATATTTGATGACAATGTTTTCTATTTTCCAATTTTCCCAATTATTCTGATTTAAACTTATATATAAACTCATATTAATTATGTTTCCCAGTCCGTTAATAAAACTCATTTGAATTTAATTTTTCATTGTTTAGCCTAGATCATAAATTTATTAATACATTAATCAAATGTCTTCTATGGCACATTCACAGACTCAATTTTATTTTTGTTTTGTTTTTTTTTGCTAAACATTTAGCCATGACACTTCGCACTTCACATTCAGTTCAACTGCAATGAGATAAGAAAATAAATACAGATATATTAAAAATGTTTTATTAATATTACAAAAAAAAAAATATCATGATAATAACAATTTCAATCGAATCGCGGCTATTAAAGCTTTAATTAATTTTACCTCCACTAAAAATAAAAACAAAAAAAAATCCAATTAATATGACATAGATCAGTTTTAATGGTCGTTCGTCTAATTAAAGATTTTCTCTCCATCTCTCATCACACACACACATACTCACACACCGAATATTAGTCGTAAAAACTTTTACGACTCAAAGGAGACGCTGTAAAACCTATCCAGGCAATTAGGCAGCATGGAAAATCAAGAAGCAGGCTGAAAAGAGAGCGGCTGCCGAATGAAAAGCAAATATTATTATCGATGGCAAAATGCCCTTTCGGATGACAAGTGGCAAAAATGTACCGAACTCTGTTTGAACACTTGCCCAAATAACTAGCAGGCCTCTCTCTTGCTCAATATTGCCTTGCCCTGTCTGTCTCGCTGTCTTTCCTTCTCTGTTCTCTTTCTCTGTCTACATGAGTCCCTCTCTCATTTTTTTTGACATTGAAACGGTAGTAGATGGAAACAACTAACCACTTGCATGACACGCTGTTAACTTGAGGTTTTTCGGCTAATGAAAGTTACGGCCATGCAGCAGCAGCAGCAGCAGCAGCAAAAGACAACGGAGAACGTGTATTAGTAATGATAAAAAGAAATATATCCTGTACAGGTAATTAGAGAAGAGGTAATTATGTATATGTAGTTGCTGTATAAATTTATATATATTTAAAAAATTAATGAATCAATAAATATAGAGGGAAATTAGTAGTAATAAATTAATTTATAATACAAATAAATAAAAATATAAAAATCAAGCATACTAATTTATCTTTTCTTTATTATTATGTTATTATTTTATTTGACTTATAACAAATATATAAATAGGGGTATTAAACATATTTTAGAAAATTAAATAAATAATACAAAAATAAATAAAATAAAAATATTTTTTAAATTAAATAATAATATAAAAAAAAATACAACATTGTATATTAAATAAATATTATGATAATTTATACTATTGTTGAATAAATTGCTCAACTTAAAATAATGATAATAATTTATGCAGGCAAAATATTAATTTTCAGCTGGAATAAAAATTTCATGAGTGCACCACCTGTCCACGTGCATCTCTTACAGGGTATTTGGAAAAAAAAGAGACAAAAGCGTAGAGCAAAGAATAACAGACGCCACACACTTGACATATGTGTTGGTCTCCCCGGAGCTGCAGAGAGTGAAAAAAAAGATGAGACGAAGAAGAACCACAGGCAGTGAGCAGAGATGGAGACAGTATATACTACTAGATATTGCAGAATTGTGTGTGTGTGTCAGTGTGTGTGTGCTGTGGATTTTACGCACTGCTAAATAAGCAATTTGCAAAATGCCCAAACCAATAACATAACAAATGACAGTGGCTCCAACAGCGATGCGGTTAGCTGACTGGATAACTGGCTGTTGGCTGAGCTGAGCTGGGCTGGGCTGGGCTGGACTGGGTCTTGCCTTGGCTTGGCTTAGCTAGAATTCGTTTCGCTCTGGCTGGGTTGGAAGATGGCAGCTGCAACTGCAGCTGAAAGCTCAAGCAGCAGCAGCAGCAGCAGCATTTGGATGGCTAATGAAAATAAAGGTTAAGGCAAGCAAATGTGCAGCCATGCCACAACGTGGGGCACGTAGCAAACGCCGCACACACGCTCACACACATACACGCACACGGGGCGAGTGTGAAAGTTTTTCTTGTCAACCCCGTGTGGCTGCAAAATATTTTGGTTTGATTGGTTTGCCCATCCTATTCAGTGGGCCAAAAGTGGTTTATTCAAATGCCAAAGCGTTTGCCCTTGGCCACTCGCAACCACAAAGGAAAAACGGATGAAAAAATGAACAACGAAGCAGCTAAACTTGAATGGAAATTTGCAGGTGTCAGCAATTGAGACACTTGACTAAAGAGCTTAACAGCGGCAAGGGAGTACAAAACGAGTCACAACTTTAAGTCGAGTAAGTGGTGCAAATGTAATCAAGAATAGATATGTTAATTATAATATAATGCATATGATAGAAGAGAGAAAAAATAATAATTAGTAAGCAGATTGCATTAGTTGTTCAGGTGAAGAGCATCCCAATTAAATTCTCATCTCTTAAATCCGACTTTGAGTCTCAACCATATTGCTCACTCTGCTTTATGCACATTCGCTCTGAAAAACTCTCAGAGCAGCCGCAACAGAAGGCAAGTTTTCTTCAACTCATAAGGCTTAACTTCCTAATAGAAGCCTAAAAGCACACTCTGAATATTTAAAGTCAGGCTCCGAGCTGGGTGGGCCACAGTATTTTGGATGGGCCTATGCCAACGTCGACAACGTTGACAACGTCAACAGCATCAACACAACCGCAAAACATCAAACTGCGTTGCAGCAGGAGCGCAGTTAGCAACGGGACAGGGGAGCGGCAGCTGCGGGGGGCACGAGGTAGTAGTAGTAAGAGGAAGACCACCAGCAGAAAGGACATCTACTGGGGGAGTCTGGGCAACTTCGAGGTTACGGAGGCTAAACGCAAAGCCGTATAATTTACAGCACACCTCAATGGGCAGAGCGTGTGGGCGTAGACCAGACAGACAGGCGGCGATAGCAGACAGTGGGACAAAAGCAAGAGTTACCGAATGAAATTGAAGAAAATCTAAGTGTGAGTTAAATAGAGACTTTGAATAATACTACAATAAATAATATTAATAAAAAAATTATATTAAATATAAATATTTTAAATTATTAAATATAAATATTTTAAATTATTAAATATAAATATTTTAAATAAATAATTAAAAAAAAATAAGTTAATTTAATTAAAAATAATATATATAATATTATATTTGAAGAGAAAAGTAAAAAATAAAATAATCTATATTAAAATAAAATGAAATAAACATATATACATATATAATAGAAATATAATTATATATATTAATTAAAATATAATAAATATATAATTCGCATAAGTTCTTAATCTTTGCTTCAACTGAAAATTCAGAATATTAATGCATTTATTTATACAAGTTATATTCTGAATCAAAACAGAAAGCATAACAAGCATTTCATATATATCTATATATATATATATATATATAGCACATCATTTGCCACACTGTGCATCAATGGGGAGTCAGCACTTTGATGCATTTGACAGCGGCAGCGATGGGGGCGTGTCTAAACACCTACACCGATGATAATGGGCCGGCGTCTGTTTATGAATGTAGCGCTGACCAGCGTGGAGTAGGACCGAACTGTGATGGCGATGGCGATGGCGATGGCGATGATGATGATGATGACGATGACAGCACGCATAATTGGCGCTGTGCATCTTGAAGTCATGCGGAGCCGGTGCCATGGTTTTCAACTGAAGCAACAGACGTGCCGGAAATCAACTTAACACAACCGCAAAAGCGCAATCTCCTTTACTACAGGCGGCCACAATGCAGCCGTCCAATAGGTTTTTGTTTCCACTCTTATTTTTTAGTCCCCTTCCCTCTCTCCCCTCTTCACACAGTCTCCCTCCCTCCCTCCTGTGCTTGTTGCGTGTGTTGGCATTTTGGATAATTGGTGTGTCCATGTTGGCCATTGGAGCAAAGGCTGCTCTGCTCTGCTCTGCTCTGCTCTGTCTGCCCGGACTGCCATTTCGACTCCCTGGCTGCACATTAAGTTGCGCTCCAGACCCCCTCCTCCCCCCTCGTAAAATTGACTTAATGATGCTTCGGTGCAACGACTCCTCGACCCTCGACCGCACAGCCCCTCCCTCCATCTGTGGCGACATTTGCCACGCACCCAATTGGTGTCCATCGGTCGGAGTCAGTTGCTCCCCGTGGTCCCATAATGATGTGGCCGACTCGTACTTTGCCTGCTTTGCATGTGCGAACTGTTGCCATGCATTTGGCAGACATGTTTTATGGCCTGTTGGCGCCTTCGAGCTTTGAACAACTTATTACCAAACACTTTTCCAAATGGATATTCTACTTAAAGAAGAGTTTGTGATCCCATTTCCTACAAGCAGAGCTTTATGCAAATGCAAAACAAATCAAAATCATCTCAAGTATTTTCTCTCTACTTCATTATAAATGCAGATTCACATTGAAAGAAATCAAATGAATTACAAAACAATTCCCGATGCTGCTGCAGCAAGCGTCAAGTGCATTAATTAAATTAAAGCCCCAGCCTAGGAATTTACACAAACAAAACTCAAATACAATAGAGAAAGAAACAAATTTCTGGCCGCTTAACGAATGAGCAATACTCTTTAGAAAATTTTAAAATATTTTTACAGTCCATCAGAAAGCAATTTATGTAAAGAATTTATTTATAAGCGACATTTTGGAATATGAAAATACATTTTATTTATTCTTAAATATATTTTGTATACTTTTATTTAATTGAATTTCAAATATATGATATTTTATATTTCTTTATTTTTTTTATATTAAAAAAAAAAATAAATATATAAAATTTTTGTATTTATTTTTATTTAATTGAAATTATCTAATTTCAATTTTTTATATTCTTGGTATATAAAAATAGACTTTATACATTTTTCATTAATCGAAATTCAAATACTTCGATATCTAAATTTTCTATATTTTTTCTGCTATAGCCTATATATCCTTTTCAAAAAGAAACATAAACGGATTGAAACATTCCAAAATATGCAAAGTAAACAAAGCGCAAAAATCTTTTGTAACCAGTCTCTGCTATTTGACTATTAATCAAAACAAATAGCTCAAGAGAAAATAAATATTTAATTACCGCTCAACAAGGGCTTTTGTAAATGTTTTCGTTTACAGCAGCGTTGGACGAGGGGGGCGTGGCAGAGTTTCATATTCTGTTAACGGCATTTGGGAATTCATAAGCCTCATTTTTGGTCTTTCTTTGCATTTCATTAGGGAAATGCATAAACAGTTCAGATT